CTATACTTATTAGTTATCTAGCTATTTGCAGAAATAGCAATAGCTTAATTTTAAAATAGGCTATTTTTTTTATACTAGGCAAAAAAGTAATACTTACTTATAAAAATAATAAAAAATAAAATTACTTAACTAACCGCGCTAATACTTTAAATTACTATTATTTACTTTTAATTACCCTGCTATATTATTATTACTTATTTTTAATAGTTAGAGCTTATAATAATAGTTCTAGTTAATATTATACTTATTATAAAGCTTATTTTATTAAAGTTATAAGTATTTTTATTTATAATACTATACTTTACTTTTATATTCTGCACTAGCTAGAACTAGTTTTATATAGTATTAGGATTTTTGTAAAAAGCTTTTTTATAATTATACTTTTAATTAAACTTTATTTTAAGCTTAGGCTAGTATTTAATAAATGCATTAGCTTACTTTAAACTAATTAAGTTTTAGTAATACTTAATAAGCAAGAAATTAGCTATATTTTTAATTTTAGTAAGCTTAAGCAAGTATTTTCTTACAGCAAAATTAAGTATATAATTAATAATTACTTTTTTTTTTATTATAGTAAGTTTTATTAAATTAGGCATACAGTTGCATTAAAAAATAGTTCTAGTAAATTATTTTCTAAGTATTAATTTAGACACGTTATAGTATTTTACAGCGCAATAAATTAAAAAATTTATATTTTATTTAATAGTTTAAATTATATTTTATATTTAATATTCTTTTTAAATTAATAATATATTATTATATTAATCTATCGCAATATACTATAGGTAATAGTAAGTTTTAGTAGGGGTTTAGCAGAGACCAACTACTCGTCCTAACTAACTATTTGTTATAGAAGTACGTTATAATATAATAATAAAAAAACTTAGTTTGCTTTTTAAAAAAGGCGTTTATAAAATAGTTTTACTACTTAAAAATAAAAAAACTATTTTTACTAAAATAATTTATAAAATTAAGCTTATACTAACTAGTAAAATTACTAAGTTTAAAGCACGCTTTATTACTTATAGTTTTTAATAGTATTCTAGTATTAATTATACTAAAAATTTTTTTTTTTACAGCTTGCTTTACGTTTATATGCATGCTACTTACTATTTATATACTATTTAAATAAATAAATATATAAATTAATATTACTATTGCTTTTTTTAATATTATACTTTAAAAAATAGTTTACTATATATTACTACTTTTAATTATACTACTTTTTAGCTATATATAGCTACTGCTTAATTTTTTTTATAAGCTTGTATAAGCGCTTTGCGTATAGTATAAAATGCCCTGCAAAAACAGGACCTAATGTATTATTAATAGCTTATATTATTAGTATTTTTACTATGTATTACGTACTTTTATTTTTAGAATTACTAAGTAATAAACTTTTAATTCCTAATATAACTTTAACTGCTAAAGCGCAGTTTTTTTTAACAGTTTCTAAGCACATATCTAAATATCTAGCATAATATTAGACTACTAAGTAGCTAACTAATACTAGGCTTTTAGGCAACAATAATACTAACGTTAATAATAATAATAATAATAATAATAATAATAATAATAATAATAATAATAATAATAATAATAATAATAATAATAA